TAGGTCTAGTCGCTTAGGCTTAGCGGCTCAGGCTTAGTGGCTTAGGCTTAGTGGCTTAGGTCTAGTCGCTTAGGCTTAGCGGCTCAGGCTTAGTGGCTTAGGCTTAGTGGCTTAGGCTTAGTGGCTTAGCTTAGTGGCTTAGGCTTAGTGGCTTAGGCTTAGTGGCTTAGGCTTAGTGGCTTAGGTCTAGTGGCTTAGGCTTAGCGGCTCAGGCTTAGTGGCTTAGGCTTAGTGGCTTAGGTCTAGTCGCTTAGGCTTAGTGGCTCAGGCTTAGTGGCTTAGGCTTAGTGGCTTAGGCTTAGTGGCTTAGGCTTAGTGGCTTAGGCTTAGTGGCTTAGGTTAGTGGCTTAGGTCTAGCGGCTTTGGCTTAGTGGCTCAGGCTTAGTGGCTTAGGCTTAGTGGCTTAGGCTTAGTGGCTTAGGCTTAGTGGCTTAGGCTTAGTGGCTTAGGCTTAGTGGCTTAGCTTAGTGGCTTAGACTTAGTGGCTTAGGTCTAGCGGCTTTGGCTTAGTGGCTCAGGCTTAGTGGCTTAGGCTTAGTGGCTTAGGTCTAGTCGCTTAGGCTTAGCGGCTCAGGCTTAGTGGCTTAGGCTTAGTGGCTTAGGTCTAGTGGCTTAGGCTTAGCGGCTCAGGCTTAGTGGGTCCGCGACATGGTGCATCTAGACACACTGCCGGGGATGGCCCCACTGAGCCGCTCCCGACCCATCGTATTCACCGTGGCTGGTGGATCCGGTGGTAAGGGGATTCCGGAAAATTGTCCGGAGGCGCACCCTCCCCTTCTCTTTTGCACAGGGCAGACGGTGGACGTAGTGGGATCCAACTGGGATGCGAACTGGCGAGGAAGGGTAGGGCTCTTCGGTCCGGCAGGACTGTGGCAACCTGCCAACTGGGAGCTCATTGCCGGCATTACTCCTTCCCTGGACCAGGATGCCCGGGAAGTACGGCTGGGCGACACCGGGAGGACCTGGGACACTCGCCGCGGGTGCCTCCGACGGGATGGGAGGACCAGCTCCACGGCGTACGGCGCGGAAGGAGTATGCGGGAGAGAGCGCGGACACGCCAACGGGATAGTGCGTGGAACGCCCTAGAAGAGTGCTTCATGTCCTTCCGTTCGAACCCAGCTAGTTACACATCGGACCCCGTCTGCGTTCAGCGCCTCTAAAAGGCTTCTATCAGCCAGCACCGACCCCTTCGGTTCGGTTTGTTGTGGATAGTGCGCACGGAGACACCAAAAATTAGTCATATAGGTAGGTTTGTTAGAATAGCAAGTGTTCTCTACTCTGGTCCACGCTTACTTCGTTCCAGGTTGCTAGCAGGCAGTAATTATTCAGGTTAGATAGTAATTTCCCTAATCTGTCATTTTCCCCTACTGCGTATATACTTCGTGTAATTTCGTAGTCCCTTTTGCTGTACTTCGTTTTCCCCTAATTCCGTTATATTCCATTCGTTTCTTTCCCACTTTCCCCATATTTCGTTCAGTCCCGGTTCATACTCCGTTCCTCGATCGATACGGCGACGGCTAATGCGTTCCCACGGATCGATAGCGGCTCGTCGACTTTCTCAGGCTCATGAGTAATCAGAGCACGTGAACCGCATCATTCCCACGAGGCGGCATGGGAAAGAGGAGAAATAGCATAAGGTTAGACAAAGTCCCACACTACGGTACGTTCTCATCTATGTGTTCCCAAGCAGCCATGGGAAAATGAAGAGATAGTGTGGAGCCAGACATTTTCCCATAGTGCGTGGATGAGAACAGTCGAAGTGAAGTCATTGATCCATACCTTGATTCATATCTTCGCAATCGACGTTGTCTATTGCCTTCTCATCCTAGCGTGGAGATATGGATCAAGTCTACCGATACGAACTCACCAAAGCCGTCAAGCGCCTTCAGCAGGTTATGGACAGCATCGACAAGTCTCTCCTCGAGGATGCACAATTCGACGGCGATCAAGAATCGGTGAGTAATCAAATCAGAGGTCGTTCTAAGGCCATAACCATAGCTCATGCTACCTTGTCCCGCGAAATTGATCTGGCCCTCCAAACGTGGAGGTCAGCAATCGAGTACCCCGTCTCTAAGGAGAGAGGAAGAGCGCCATGCTCTCGTATGCGACTACCAGACTACTGGTCTACCAGTGGAGGAGAAGCAGCCGAGGGCAGGGCCAGAGACCTCATCACCAAGCTTGACGTCGTAATGCGCTTGTTGCAACAGGACGATGTTAATTCATTGTCTACTACGGTTCCCTCAGGAGAAAGGAAAACAACTAAACATACTACGTCAAACCTCAGGTTGGCATCCCTAGGCTCTCGAGATCACTCTCGTTCGAGACAAGGAAGTCAGTCGAGGGATTCTATTTCGTCTGACGGAGAACTTCTTTCTGTCCAGGATCAAGTAGAATCCAGGCGTTTGAAAATTCCCTAAGAGAAGGTCGCATTTATCAGTCCGTTTGCCAAAGTTTGATCCATATTTACTGGAGACATTGCTGCGTTCCCCGATTTCTGGGATGTGGTTGACTCGGCGGTCCATTCAAACCATTCAAATCAAGACGATCCATTTCTCTCAAACCTATAGTCGAATTTCTCAAAAGTGCACTCAGGGACGACGCACTGTCAGTGGTCACAGGGTACGAGATCACGGAAGCCAACTATGAAATGGCAATTAATACAGTGCGTGAAGCCTACTTTCCGCCCTGACCTTAATCCGTATGCAGCTCAGCGACCGGTTACAACATCTTCAAACCGGCTACTACGCGTGCCATCAACCAGCGTGTCACATTTGCTCGTATAAAGTCGTTATGGCTTCAGTTGAAAAAAATTTGGCGAGCATGATGACAACATTTCGTTTAATACGTGAGAAGTTTCCATCGGAAACACTCGAATATGTCGGCCAGGCGCAGGCCAAAGACATGGTTCCGTGGAAGGTTCCACAACTCCTCAATGCACTTGATCAAGCGACCAGGACATTCGAAGTAATTGAGGATTCCGCACCACCCGAACCACCATCTTCGCCTTCATCGCTGACGCTACATTTCACATCGCAATCCTCCCCGCGAGGATTACGCTCATCTAATACGTACAGGAAATTTCTTCCGTAGGAAGATGCATGTGCGATAGCACCAATTCCATCCGTTCATGTTGCCAGAAGGCACTCATAGTTCGTGTTCATCAAACCGATTTTCGTCGTCGGTGGGAGGCTGGACTTCCAAGGTCCAGATAATAAAGCAGGTGGCAACTAGCCTGTATGAGTACCCTAATACGTCCCCTGTGGTAAAATCTCATTAATGCGTCGTACGTTATAGCGCTCCCTTGGGTGTGCGCCCCTTTTCTGTCGTTTAGGTCGACTGGCAGCGAATGGCGAACGGTTTGTCGACGAGATCGAGCTGGTCAATGGGCAAGTGCGAGGTCGGTTCGAGTCAGTTGGTCAAGTGCGGTCGTGCTTGGAAGTCGGTTCGAGATCAAGTTGACAGCAGTTGGAACACGCAGATACGAGGAGAACGACATCGTCGGTCAACGACGACAAGTTATGCTCCGACGTTTGTGTGGTTTGATGCGACTGTGGTTGAATGGAAGCGTTAGAAGCGACAGTCAAACAGCGGCGAGTTACGACGACACCTGTTAAATGATCCATTTTTCTCTGAGGTGGCCCTTAAGGCGCCTCCATCGTTGCAGTTTCTTTTTTGGAGTTGCCCTCGAGGCACTCCCTCTTATGCCATTTTTGGAGTGGCCCATAAGGCGCTCTCATTGCTTTTTCTCGAGTGACCCTTAAGGCGCTCTTGGTGCTTTTGTATCTCGTTGTTGGGGGTTTATTACGTATTACGTTGTATGCCATTGTATTTTGTTTTCATTATTTCTCTGGATGCCCTTAAGGCACCACTTGTCGATGACGGTTGAAGTGTTTTTGAAAATACCATTGAGGCAATTGTTCAATTAACGATTTTTACGCACTATGGTCGCCTGTAGGTAGGAAAAATGTGAGGGTGGAGTTCCATTAGCTGAATTGGTGTTTTCCAACTTGAATAGCCTCAATTCAGGGCGTTTGGTGTCTACTTCTCCCGGCGGAGACTTGACCATTCCGACCCCCCGTGGCGACTTCTCGCGCGCCTCGGGAGTGTCGCGGATGCGACGGTCGCCGTTGGGCGCACCTCGCGCCCCGGCCCATCCGCGCTCGGTTCCCACGGCGTGCGCTTCACGTGCGCCGTGGTTCCGCCCCTGCGGTCGTAGTCAGTATAGTACGTCCGGTGAATTCCGCTCCGAAGCCGGAGGCAGCCCGAGCGCCGGCCATGAGCCGGCCGATATCCATCCCCTGCTCCCCGACTGGGAGCAGCCTCTACTCCAGCCCCGATCAGGACATCGACGACCGCATGGAGCGATGAGGGCTACCGCCGGCAGGATGGGGGCCTAATACGTATGAGGGGATGAAGCCTAACAGGCCTATTGCGTACTCAGAGGGGCAATGGCCACGGGGGCCTACTGCGTGGTCAGCTATGGAACGAAGCCCATGGAGAACGGCGGCCAGGGGAGAACAATAATTGTAGTGCGGTGAGTAGTTCGTTAATAAATGATGTAGATTATTTAATGTTCTGTTTGTTATCATAATGGTTTCTACCACGGATGCTTACCTGTGTTTCTATGTGTTGGGTTGTTACCATGGTGGTTGGTATACGGGGGTAGGGCCACGGCCTCGTGCGGCGCGGTACGGTGGAGACGCCGTGGACGGTAGGGGGTCGGTAAGGTGCCCGCCGTAGGAGAACCCCATGGTCCCCGGGGGGTTAGGTCCACCCTCCTGCGCGGGTGCGCAGGAAGGGTGTGGTACAGCGATGGGACGGCGGGAGCCGCGGTCACCACCGATGTCGATCGCGACAGTAGGGTGCCAAGGGACCGCCACAGCTTCAAAAAGAGATGGAGGAGCGCACGCCCATCACTTTGTTCCTCTCATCCTCTACTGGTGTCCATTCCACGGTTCCTAATTTCTACGAATCATCGCTTTTGAAAACACCCTTCCTGTTCGTAAAACTGGCTCACTTCGCCATGATAGTGACTGACTTGAAAACACTGCAAATAGCAGTCATTGAAGTTGCCAGGAGACCGGAAATAAAATTGAAATGACGCTCATCATTTTCTTCCTATGAATCATGTTTTTCCAGAAGGAGAGCGGCATTCCTGCGAATAATCTTGCATAATAGCCCATAAGTGAGAGACGAAGAGTGCGGCAATTTTTCATAATTACGTCAGTGGCGCATAATAGGATAGAGTCGTTACAGCATAAAAATCGGCAATTTGGCCTGTATGTTGCAGCACGATGACTTATTTATTCTACTTCTCTCTGCTATAATGTCTCTTGCGTAGAGGTTCGACAAGAATGGCTGCAGTTATGCGGCAAAAGTGCCAAGTTGATCCGAGCTTTTGCCCAAACGTTCAGTCAGTCTTGTGATAGCTTTCGTATCGGCGTTACTGCGGGCGTTAAGAACACAGTTATCAAACATTCTCTTCCTCATGTTTCTCATCAGTCTTCGCTGTACATTTAGGCGGTTGACCGGAACAGTTTCCCGCCACTTGACCATTTTGTCTCTCAGTGTTTTGTGCACATATCAATATCCCTGGTGTCCACATATATAGTCTTGCCTTATCCTTCTCTCCTCATTTTTCTTATGTGTGATGTCGTCGTTACTCTCACTCTTTTATTCACTCTTTCATTCTTCTTCACTTGGGCAGGGCCGAGCATCGCTGCAAGTTCCCTGGTAGTGCTCCTCTTCCACGGTGGATTGCAGCAACTTCAAGTCTAACTCCATCGGCCGGCCGGACCTTGGAGCATCTTGGAGAGAAAAATCTCCTTTCTTGAACTTGGCCATCCAGGTCTTGCACGTGTCGTAAGAGATAGCGTCAGCGCCATATGTATCCACTATCTTGGCTTGGGCTTCCTTTGCGTTTAAGCCAGACTGATGAAGGAAAAGAAGACAGTGCCTCAGGTGCATCCTGTCGGGTTGAAACTTGGGCGGCATTTTGGAATCCAAATGCAAGCTGGGTGAGTGTGAGGTAGTGATGTGAAAGAGTCTCTTGCGTGCTTCATGCACACCCCACGATAAGTCATAAACATACATGCAAGGCTAATATGGTGCGATCAAACACGTGGCGGGAAACTTTCCGGTCAACCTAATATTACGTTGGAGGAGCCCTGCAATACCTGCAAGGTAATTCTCAATCGGATACTCCTTCAAAGATCGAGAACTTCAACCAACGCGTGAGTTATCGTGGGTACCTGGGACAAGTGTTAATCTGTTCAGCAGCCCCTCTTAGAACTCTGGCGACTATGACGGAAAGAAGATTTCGTTCTCGCGTTGATATCGTTTCAATTTTCTTATTTTCTATATTAGTGCCGTAAATAAAATGGTAGTCAGAAGCTACAAAGCTGATGAAGTAAGCAGTGATGAGTAAGCTGAGTCACAAATAACAACCGATACCAGGATTTTTTAGATGCCATCCTCTCCACATGCGGGCACTCGCTATCGTGGAGTGGGAAGGTAGTGGGCCTTTTTGAGCGAAGTTCACATGCGGAGACGGCCATTTTTTGATCAATTTTTTAACTAGACACGGGTCGGCATAGCTGTACTGGTATCCAGCAGCGCTCCTTACCAACCCAACCAGCAGCACATTGAGACCTTTTCTAGCACATCTTCTTTCGCCACTGCCGACGGCTTTTTTCCTTGAGAGACCCAGTCCAGATTATGCGCGTGGTTTATGCTGGGCAAAGAGTTCATCAGCACTCACTAGCCACAAAATTCTGCGAGTGAGTGAAGAAAATCCAAACCAACATCACTCGGGGACTAGCGCTTCTCATGGGATATCCATCGCGAATATCATTTCTCATCACCGAAACTGTATAATGTGGAATGAACGCAGCCTAAACTTGGAGTTACCCAG